TGCATACTATATATATTATTGATGAAAAAGGGACTATACCTTGATAGTTTCATATCTTAGAGAGACTTTATTCAAAACTTCTGAAATTTTTTATGCAAACTAGTCTAGCTGAGGCCTTTATGCAGGCAAAGTTTCAGGTCAAAATTCGAAAGCATAACTTTGCTGCCAATGTAGGCGTACTATAGAGAAAATTCACTAAGAGCTCGATATCTCCTCAGAAACAAGCCAGAAACCCAAGGGGGAAACAACTGATTTATAATTTTGTGATTTAAGATGAGTTAAGTTGATTTAAGGTGATTTAAGGTGATTTAGAGATGATTTAAGATCATCTAAAATCAATTTTTCAAGTGATTTAACATGATTTACAAATGATTTAACCTTGATTTTCAGGTGATTTAAATCAGTTGTTTCCCCCTTGCAGAAACCCGAACTTTTTTTACCATAGACATAGCACACTATGGGCTACAAGATGCGCGAAACCCCGATTGAAAAGCGCTCCCGCACCTTGGAAGGTTCCCTAGTGAGTTTTAACAGATGCGCATAAGCTAGGCAGACCTTTAGTAGATCCTGTTTTTCTGCACCAAAATAAGATCGAAATCAACTTTCAAATATATCACTGAAAAGAGCATTTAAAATGGCACAAGATAGACTATTCGATTAGTTTTAAAAAAGGATATGTTACATTGAAGGCGATTAAATTCCATAGATTAATTAGGTTGGAACCCATCGGTGCATTCCATCGTGCCGAATGTGGTAGGTTAGTGTATCTCTCAAATATCTAAACTACATGGAAAAAGATTGCATCGAGTTTAATAAAATAAGGCAAAAGCTTTATTCACCCATGGAAAGACGGGTGGCGCATTCGCATTACAAGGGAAAGCAATGAAGATTCATTGCTTCCTCAAGTTGTTCATGCTTCTTTGACAAAGTAGAGTAAATGTACATAACTCAAAATAAATTCTAACAGCTTTAGGCTTTAAATAGAAAGATTAATCGATTTGTCTTTGTCTTATGAACTTTTTATTGCGATCTTTCAGTTTCGTAATTAAATGATACTATTATTTGTAAAACTACATATAGTATAACAGTAATTTTTCTTAGATAGCTCCGAAAAAAGTGTCAGAATATTTTGTATTATGCATGTCACACCGCATTTCATGCATATTCATTTTTCTATATTTTCCAAACTTCTGATTCTGATGATCATCTAACTAAAATTTCTGTTAGTGTGCTCCGATTCGTAGTTGTCAAAACAAGAGTCTATTCATAAAGAAGGAAAAATAACTTCAACAGTTAACATTAACAGTTCAATAGACTATCTGGATACTAAGTTCATCACATCTATAATCGCTCCTTACGTCTATGAGTTCTTCAAAAAGACAGACACGTGAAAATGTCTGATAAATTTTAAATTAGCATCACGTTAGAAACTGAAGAATCATTGATAGACAGACGCTGATAAAAACTCGAAGTCGTTTGCAATATGATTTGAATAAATCTTACTAAAAAACGTAATACTGCTTTAAGGCTTCTGATATGTTGTCAATATCAGATGCATAATTATTCAATCCTGCAATACTACGTCTGCCACAAATCGGATATTTAAATAGCTTTCTAGCACTTGGACTGCTTCTTATAGGGGGAGGGAAAGAAATTTACTATAGTATTGCTTCAAAGTTTATTGCCTTTCTAAAAAATTGAGCTTGCGCCGCTGATGAAGTTGATGATGCTTCACCAAGTACTATACCAGACACGTCTCAGATTGATTCTCAGGTATTGTTAAAGCAGAGTAAGCAAACTGGTAAACATCGTTTGACATCACAGTTACAGGAGCATCATCCAACAAACAGAACTCAACCAGAGAAAAGTTTCACAAAAGGCTTTTAATGCATAAACGGGAATCATGATTGCAAGCCATTCATGGTAATTAGTAAAACGTCAGAAACGCCGTTCTTAGTGTGAAACTATTACTTTCACAACGATTAAACGATCAAAACCTTGTATTTTTAGCGTTTAAATGAACGAGTTTTTAGTTGCAGCATTAATGTGTGTTTCAACGCTAAAAATACGAGGTTTTCATTGTTTAAACGCTCTAAAAATAATAATTTCGGGCTAAGAACGACGTTTCTGACGTTTTAATAATTACCATGAATAGCTCACGATTGCGGTTCCCATTTGTGCGCTTAAACGCATTTTTCAAAATTTTTCTCTGCTTGGGAAATCGTCGTTGAAATTTATTCAGTCGACATGTGATCTTCGGTGTCTTATTTTATATTTTTATTTTGAATGAATCATTGCAACACTTGTTTTGATTCGAATATTTTTACTATTTGCTCTTGAATACGTTGGGAAAAACAAAAACAATTATAAACTACTATATAAAGAATGTATTTTTTTAGTTATATTTAGAAGTTTTGTAGTAGATCAAGTTTCTCAAAGTACTTCTAAGTACGTCAAAGTTACTTAAAGTACGCTAAAGTAACGTGAAGTACAAAAGTCCGCTGTTTCCCCCTTGGGTAATAAAGTGGACGATGAAGAAGTAACTGTGGTTGAAGATAATGAAGTCGTAAGTTCATTTCTATGTACCTTACCTTTATGTAATTTTACTTCAAAAATGGACACAACGGGCTCAAATGACAGCCTAAATCGACGA